CCTGTCTGAATTCCCTTAGGGATAAAAAATACATAATAACATGATGTATTTTTTCTGCATCAATATTCTTCCGTCTTTTTTGTAAATTGCAGATTAAAAAATTAAAGCTACTTTTCAGAAACATGTTCTGCTTCTTACTGAGTATAAAGGTGGGATAATTCTTGAAGTGTGACTCTTCTATTGAAAAATCCCGAGTTATACAGTTATTCAAAAAAAGCCAGTGGGACCTAGGAAAAGGCTTTTTTTGTGACTGAAATTTGTTACGACATTCTACTGTGCTAATTACCAGATAAGATGTGTATTCTCTAGAATCCAGCTGATGTTTTCACTACGTATTGAAAGGAATATNAATTATTTTCCTGAAAATGCTGCTGGTGATTAAATTTCCTACAGTTACTTCGATTGTTTGCAATCTTAATATTTTAGATTTTTTACAGTATCATTCAAAGCAGGGCAATGTCTGAAGCAAAAATCGGTGGCACCCGGAGTTCATTGTAAAAAATACCCATTATGCGATCATCCGGAATAAAACTTCGATTGTTTTCAGCGCTTGTGCATACATCTTTCTTTTTTGCACCAGGTGCCATGTCGCGACAAAAGCTACGATTGGTTGTTGCGGTGGATTACTGTGAAAGGTGCGAGGAAGACGCAGCACTTGAGTGTGGCCACCAAGTTCCAAGAAGCGACTAGCGGAAAAATCGTCACACGTTACGATTTCATTCCTAGCATAGGGGTGCATTTTTTCAGGTAATCGTGATGCGATACTGCATTAATATTCTCCGATGTTCAAACATGGGATCGTCGAGAAAAGTGGTGAAGACGGATTCACTCAATCTTTGATCCACGACAGAGTGTCTATCTATTGACTTATGGAGAATATATTTTATATTAAATTATGATACTGTATTAAATACGAGGGTTGTCCCAGTTGGACACGACCCCATATTTTTAGGGGAGGCGTGATTAAAAAAAAGATTTAGCCCAGGATGTTCTGAGGTTCTGGGATTCTTATGTCGTTTTAACCGTTATCTAAAAATGTAGAAACATTAATTAATAAAACAATGGATAAAATTTCAATTTTTTAGCTAGCCTGACAAATTTTGGTACCCTGTGACATGTGGTAATGGAGAACTCTGGCTGTAACTGGAAAGTTTTCACTTATCATTCAGTGAATTGAAACACTTTTTAAAAATCCGAAACTCCCAGACCCTTAAGAGCATCATGGGCTATGTCATGTTTTTTTGTTTAAATCACATCCAAGTATTCTAAAAATATCAGAGGTCGCGTCCAACTGGGACAGCCCTCGCATAAGTTACTATTGAAGGAGTTTATGAGGAAGTTTATGTTTTTAGAATGAAGGCGAAGGAAATGTGATAGAATAAAAAATTCAGACAGTTATGGAAGCGTAGCAAGGGATACGGAAACATCTTTGGCATGCAGTTGAATTATTCGCTATGATGTACGGCTTTTTTATGTAATACAGTAGTCGGTATCAATTGTGGAAAAAACTAATGTATGTCTCATCTTTCGTGCGTTTTGAAGCTACAAATAAATGTATTCTCCCTCTGTTTGTTTAGGTTCCATAACCGATGGATTCGCGTGGAAAGAACAAGAGAACAGTCGACTATAGATCTGCATCAAGGCATTCCTTTCGAAACTGTTACATTGACTGCACTTGGTCGGGATCGACAGCTGTACTTCGAAATTTTGGAAGATGGTAAGCGCTGACGAAATTCTATCTAATGCCTTTGTACTACCGTGTATGAAATGGACAGAAAATATGGCAGTGCAGTAGTTTTTCAACATGTTTACACGTGTTTGAATTTTTTTCAAATTGCTATTACAGAATTCAAATTCATTAGTCTTGGCTTCGAAATAGAGGTTCATTCGAAACACTTGGCGACCTGATGAATGAATGTTGTACATTTAAAAACTGTTTCCCCTCCCTCACTTGACTCTTTAATTTCCGAGAGATTTGTTTCATAAACGCTTGAAACAATTTTAGCAAAAATGTAAGAATAGAATAAGAAGGCACGGCCGAATTGATTGTTAGGATGGATTGGATTGCACTGCATACAGCGAGGCAAATAGCCCTGGAAGAGTACCAAGGACGCACCGTGATGTACACTGCAATGGGTTCCGAATGGCGGCAGTTGGGACAACCGAAAAAGCGACGACCTCTGCAATCCGTCGTTCTTGCCGACGGCGTTTCCGAGAAACTTCTGGGGGACGTGAAGGAGTTTATTGCGAACCCTGCGTGGTACAGTGATAGAGGTGAGATCGAGCGTGTCAACAATTTCATCTTGAGAATGGTGCACGAAGTTGATTGCGTAATAATAGGCAATATGAAATTTCGTTTATCTTTATGCTAGAAAGACCATTTTCGGGAGTTTTCAGAAAAGCTCTAATTAAATCAGACAAGAGTCTTCTGGATTCGGAAAGTTATCTGCAACTGTCATGTGTCATTTGCGCAGTCGACGTTTTTGTTGTTTGGCCGCACTTCTTCAATTCATCCCAAAACATTTACTGAATTAATTTAATTTTCAGTTTTTATCAACTGTACTGTGTACAGGTGAACCTCAATAAGACAAACCTCTCTAAGTCAAATTCCTCCCTAAGTGGATTTTTTTTTCAAGTCCCTGTCTGAATTCCCTTAGGGATAAAAAATACATAATAACATGATGTATTTTTTCTGCATCAATATTCTTCCGTCTTTTTTGTAAATTGCAGATTAAAAAATTAAAGCTACTTTTCAGAAACATGTTACTTCTTAAACTTGTTATTCTTGAACTTGAACTTCTTGTTCTTTCTTAAACTTCTTACTGAGTATAAAGGTGGAATCATTCTTGAAGTGTGACTCTTCTATTGAAAAATCCCGAGTTATACAGTTATTCAAAAAAAGCCATTGGGACCTAGGAAAAGGCTTTTTTTGTGACTGAAATTTGTTACGACATTCTACTGTGCTAATTACCAGATAAGATGTGTATTCTCTAGAATCCAGCTGATGTTTTCACTACGTATTGAAAGGAATATATTTCTTAGGCTGTTCTCTGTCAAATTTCTTAAATAATTTTCACAATGCAAGTAGCGCGTTAATTAAGATGCTTGATCCGTTGATTTTTTTTCTCCTTATTCAAGGCATCCCGTACAGGAGAGGATACCTTTTGTACGGACCACCTGGTTGCGGAAAATCGAGCTTTATATTCGCCTTAGCTGGTGCACTGGAGTACGGGATTTGCGTTCTGAATCTCAGTGAACGAGGTTTATCAGACGATCGCCTCAATCACTTGTTGGCGGTGGCCCCGGAGCAGTCGATCATTCTACTTGAGGATATTGATGCAGCTTTTGTCAGTCGGGAAGAATCTCCCAATGGTGAGAAATCTATGCATCGGATGAGACAAAAAATGACACGTCTTCCACCCACAATATCTCGTATGAGGTCCTTTTTGAGAGAAGAAAATATTAAGATTCAACTTTTTGCAATCTCAGATTCCGTGTCTCTAGATTTGTGCTTATAGCTACCAAGTGCATTCAGGCATGAAACATGATGGAAACATCTGATTCTGGCTGTTGTTTAAATTTCAGTATCCTTCTCTATCTGATAGCTTTGAATTTTCAAGAACTGTTTCATTAGCCACCATGTAAAACATAAGATAGATCTCGTTGCATCAATTATTTTTATTTTTGATTATTTTTTAAGTAATGAACTACATCTCGACATAAAACCAAAATGCTATTCGAGTCTGGGATCAATGAAGGATTTTTCACTGCCCGGTTCCTGTAATGACATTATTCAATGCGATTCTGATGTTTATCACCAGTTCGTGCTGCCTTTGAGGGCCTAAGCAGACTGACATTGAGTGGCCTTTTGAACGCTTTGGATGGCGTGGCGAGTTCTGAAGGCCGTCTGTTGTTCATGACCACCAACTACAAAGAACGGCTGGATGCTGCGCTCATTCGACCAGGACGTGTAGATGTGCAAGAGTTTGTCGGATACTGCTCACCAGAGCAGGCTGCAGCCATGTTCAACAACTTTTACCCAGATGCAGCTGCTGGATTGGCAGGCAGAT